AAAAAAAAAAATGTCTTCAAAAATGATGCATTGCCTGCTGCTGTTGCTGCAGTACAGTGCAACACAAGGAGCCACAGAGTGGCACAAGAAAACAACATGTCGATTCACATGTGGCTCACAAAACTTCTCAGCAGCACACTCCATACATATTCAGATGAGAAAAACCAACGGAAGATCACTAATCCTCTAACAAACGAGCATGTATGCTTGGTTAAAAGAGCCCAGCCCTCAGACTGCAGCAGAGATGCCCACCTGCTACTGAGCCGGCAGCCAGCCGGCAGCCAGCTAGGAGCTAAAATGGAGAAGTGTGTGGGCTGAAAGAGGAAGCAATGAAAAAAAAAATGCTTTAAAAAAAAATCAGAGCAATGGAGAATTTCTGTGCAACAGTTTGTCTTAAACGGTGCTGGAATTAATTGCGTTGACTTTAAGTTGGTTGATTGTTGCAATTTAAAAAAGCACAAAAGAGGGGGACATCATGTTTTTTTTTGTTTGTTTTTTTAAAGTACAGCCCCCTCTGATATGATTTATCCGTGCACAGATGCTGCTGGGATGAAGTAATCAATTATTCATCTGCTTATAGCCCAGTCATTGTATCTCTGAGGACTCCGGATAACGGAACGAGCAGGATGAGAAAGCAGAAATTCGACACCGTAAAAAAATAAGTGAATGGTTACATTGTACTCACATAAATTCCCAACAGGAGGAACAGGAGTGTCAGCATTGCAGGCCGTAAAGAAAGCTTCCCATTGTCAGTGTCCCAAACCTCTCCAATACAGAATCCACAGACAGGGCGACAGAAAGGAAAGGGCAGGGTCTGTCTGGGAGAAGAAGGGGACAGTAAGGAAGAGGACAAGGGAAAGGAGGAGATTAGGGGCGTGGTTTATGCGCAGCATTGGTCAGAGGACTAATGGGAGGAGTTAAAGAACCCAATAGCATATGGAGGAGGCAGGGGATATGCAAAAGACGTGGAAAATCTCGAGAACTGACTGAGGGATAAATCTGACTACTGCAAAGGGGTTTGGCTTCCTTGGGTGCCACCCATTTCCTTTAAAAGCACAACGTTTATTTCTTTACCCTTTGAATTTTGGGGATGTAAACACAAAAATGGTCAGAGTAAAACGAAAAAGCACAAAACTGACGGCAATATAGTGATTTAATTATATTACATTTCCCTAAACCTTCCTTCCAGACACTTTTGTAAAAATTGCTAAACATGTAAAATGCTAATTATTATAAAGAGTATGTTGCTCGAAAGCTGATGAGGTTTTTTGTTTTGTTTTTGTTTGTTTTTTAGAGAATGGACGGGGATAGGTGTGTTCATTTAATAATAGGAGTCCTGCTAGTTTTAGTAATACAGCACTCAAGAGGCCAGGTGGTGGTATAGTATGGGAAATGTAATGGGATATGCTGTGTGTTTTCACTTAGAAGAGGCTTTTGAGAACAAAGAAAGACTCGGGCATTTTCCTAGTGAATTCAACAGCTTTCACTTTGGGGGGTTATTTGAAATGAGAGTATGTGTTCATGCAGGTTGAGAATTTTGAATACAAAAAGATGTGACTGTATAATAAAATGCTGGAGGCCGTCAGTGTTAGGTGGCTGTTGTGTTGCAGGCTATAAGGAGTTTGTTGGGGGGTGGGGCTTGGGGGTGAGGGGCAAACAATTGTCTCTTGGTTTTATTCTGCAAGGTGGAGTTGCCATGGAGACTGCTTCCAGTTGAGTCAAGATGGCTGCAGCAGTCTGGCAGCAGCAGTGACTATAACAGATATACATAATGTAGGTCAGACTGACAACACTGACAGTGCTTTTCTCAACATGGTTTAAAATAAATAATTCAACAAAAAATAACACAATCCTAAAGTAATCTATTACAAACATTTAAATAAATAATCATTTTCATTGAAGTGATCTGTATTTTTATTTGTTTATGACTGACTTAGTAAGAGAAATCTAGGTCAATATTATGCTGTCAAATGATAAACAGCATGACTTCCCCTTTGAAGGGATGATGTAACAATGAAAACAACAATAACAAGGCAGCCAGCCATCACGCAGCCATTATTGCGCTAGAACTTTAAAGCAGGTTCAATGCATAATAAATAGAGATCTATCCGTGCATCCGCTCTTCACATCAGACGCTGTTTTTATGACCTTTTCACTGTTCAGCATAAGAAGTTTAAATAAAGATTGTTTTTCATGAAAATGATGATGAAAATCATTTACAGTCAATAGCTGCCTGAAGTCTAGAATCCATGAACATCACCAAATGCTGCATTTTCTCCCTTGAGAAGCCTTTAATGCAGCTGCCTTCAGTTGGTGCTTGTTTGTCGGTCTGTCTGTTTTCAGTTTGTTATGTAACAACTGAAAAGCTCTGTTGTGTTGAGATCAGATGACTGACTTGCCTGATGAAGAATCTCTCATGCCTTTGCCTTGAGAAACTCTGGGGTCTTGCAAAATGATTTGGGTCATTAGCCATTTGCCCTGGGAAGCACAGTCTGATCAGTTGTGGAGAATGTGGCTGAAAATGAGACTATAGCCATGTACACTTCAAAACTCATCCTGCTGCTTGTATCAGCAGGCACATCATCATTAAATACTAGTGACCCAATTTGGCAACCATACACGCCAATGCCATAACATTGCATTTACTGTTTACTTAACAAATAATGTGGAATTTTTTTGGACCATGAGCTGTTTCTCTATTTCTCTACACACTTTCCTTACTGTTCTGGTTCATGGTGGTTCTGTCCAGAGATTTTTGTTCTTCAGAAATCTGCAGGCACTTTTGTTTTCTACAGAAATCCAGTTTGGTCTTTTGTTCTTGTTGTAAATTCCCTGTTTTTGTATCTTTGAAGGCATCTAATGACAGACTTTGACAATAGTACGCCTACCTCAATGAGAGTTTTTTTGACTAGCTTAGATGTTATGAAAAGGCTTTATTTAAAAAAGGGATCTAAATCTAGCTAAATCTAGCTGACTACCATGTGCTTTCAGTCCTTTTGGTGAAAATGAGGGACGATGTTTGTTAAGAAAAAATGCTTAAATTCAAAAGCGGTTCAAGCTCACGCTTTAAATCAAGCTCTTTGACTTAAAATCTACAACTAGTGCTGTGAGAGGCAAAATTACAAAAATGTTGTCATTGTCTAAACACATATGGACTTAATGTGATCACAGATTAGCTGTCCATTTCAGATTGTTATTATATACCCAAACACAAGCTTATAAGGGATTGAGCAGATAAGCAATATGAATTGCTATTGATTATTTGTTTGTAAACATAAATGGAGTATAAATATAGTTGCCTGGTTTGAGTCTTGTACTGAAACATATTTATCACTGACCCTTTACCATATCCATGCATGCTAGCCTTATAAATATTTTATCATAGAGAATCATAAAAAACAAAAACATTTGAAATACACCAGTCTGTACTGAAATGAAAACACTATAGAAGAGGCTGTTTTTATTACTTCATTATTTCAAGTCAGACAGCCTGACAGAGTACCAAAAACCTAATTAACGCAACTCTGGCATCAACAAGCTCTAATGTTATGGTACAAGCTGTGGCCTCTTTGACCCAATGCCTCTGCTCCCACAAAATGAAAGTACTGAGGGTCTTCCATAAGTGAAATGTACCACCATTGTCAGCCACCAGATACTGGGCCTTCAACTGTGGTAATGTCTTAAGTTAATTTGGGATCAACGCCCTTCATTTCGACTTTTCATAGTTCAGCTCTGCTCAAATACAGGCTGCCTTTGTAACACTGACCCATTTAAGATCAAACAATGGCTGAATTGAGTAAGACCCTCAAAGCAACCACACTCTTCTGCATTTTTGACATGCTTCTGTGATAATGTGGGGAAAAAAAGAATTACAAGAATGTTTCACAAAAAGAGTTGAAAACAGAGCAATACAAATATACTCAGTTAAAAACAAAACAAAAAAAAAGGAAATACTGTATTTAAGCATGCATTACAAGCACACGTAGTTTAAAAACAAAAACATCTAACCAGGATTTAAATACAGCCTCTGAGCCATTTTATTCTCTCTCTCTCTCTCTGTCTCTCTCAACGACTGTAGAAAACAGTCATTGGTGTCTCTGTCTCTCTCTCTTTCTGTCTCTCTACACTTTCTCAGTACCTTCTGCACGTTTTGCATGTCAATCCTTCCAAAGTTCACACACTGTAGGCCTTAAACCATTTATCCCAATGTGCCCATCTTTCTACATCAACCAGAAAACCTCCGCTTTAAGCCAACTATATTTTGCCATCTAGTGGTACAACATACAAAATGCCTTCTCCTAAACAAAGAAACCTTCACTTGCTTAAAGCTTTCTTGAATATATTCACAATTTAGGAAAAACTACCAAAATAGAACAATCTTAACACTTTGTTGTCATCATGAATTAATTGCAATTAACATTAAATTACATAAATTATCTTTGATACATGTAAAAATATATCCCAAAGGCTAAACACCAGAGCCTGTGGGCTTATTTACAGTGTCCTTGCTGCTCTGTAGTTTGCTCATATCGCCGAGGCGTTTTAAAAAACTGAAAAACAATCCAGTGGTCTCAGTTTTGAACACCACAGGCTTGCTGCTTGCTGGAACAGTGTCACTAGTTATCTGTACATCGTTGTCTGTGGGCTGCATGACAGGAGCTGAGGAAACAGGCGGCTTGATTGTGCTTTCTGCTGATGTGTCATTTGTGTCTTGAGCACCTGATTGTTTTAAGTTGTGAGAAATGTCAGTATAATCAAACACTGGTTTGGAGGGAGGGTGTCCGGCGCCCTCTCGCTCTGGCATCGTCCCCTTTTCTTTAGCCACATGATTTGGAGTTCTGACGGGCAGTTCAGTCCACCGATTACTTTCCCCTGCCTCGGTTTTTGGGACTTTAGTAGGCAGCGTATGGCGGCGTCCAAGGTTACGTTTAGGGGAAGGTTGAGGTTTGAGCAAAACTTGAAGCAAATCCTCATTGCTGGGGTCATCAGGATACCGATCCTCTTCCTCATCAAATGTGAGCTGACGGCGTATGGGCGCATTTGGAGGAGGAGACTTCTGATTTTCCAGAGAGTAGTCCCCAGATGAGACGCTGCCACGGCTGTTCTGAAAACGCAAAACTTTTTTAGATGCTTCACGCAGCTTTTGGGCCTCCTCCTCATTATTATCTTGCAGATCTTCCTCACGATCATCAAAAGATCTAACTGTGGACATAAGTCTAACAGTCCTTTTGAAAGGGTTCATAAGTCCTCTAGAGTCCTCTTCTTTGGAAGTTTTCATCTCTTCTTCATTAGAATTTTCACTCTCTGCCATTGTGTCCTCGATGTCTGACTGGGCTTTGTGCGAGTTCCGTGAGTTCGCAGTGAGTTCAACTGCTGAACTCCACTCTTTTCTGCCCATGTCCTTAGCTCTAATTGAGGCTTGAATCTTTTGATTTACTGGGGGAAGGTTTGCCTGAGAAGTAATTTCTGAAAGGCTCCCGTTATTGGGACTACCATTAGTTGGGCTTCCACGAGTCGATGAGGGCTTTTCTGCTCTTCTCCTAGAACCACGTTTGGTGACAAAGTTTTGCAGCACAGATTCTAATGCAACACTATCCATTTCCTTATCTCTACTGGAGCAGGTAGCTGTGGATCTCCGCTTGGCTGCAATTTCCAGTCTGTCTCTGTGTCTCCGTTTCACCTCTGCAGTCTCTCTAGCTTTGTTTTCCTGCAGGAAAAAATTAAATCCCAGTTCAAACCCTTTAATTTTTCTTTTACCTCAGTATAGGAATATGCCAGCACATATAGCGCGTATATTACCTGTATAGCTCGCAAAAATCTTTCACAAAAGGAGTTGAAAATGGAGCAACACTCCTCCAGTTTAAAATTCTTGGGGTCCTCACAGAAGTACTGTGCCACTCTGTCACTTACAGACTGCAACTCCTGAAGATCAGTTTCTACTTCTTTCAAGCAAACCTCCGCTTCCTAATTGGAGCCAAAACCAAAACATTAGAGCATATACTCTCTATTAAAATTCACACAAACTGGACCAAGTAACGAATCACCCACCATTAGAAAATCCTCCATCTGTGCCTTTAGGTCTTCCTGCTTTAAAGTGTTTGCATTGGCATCTTGCACTTTCTTTACTTGCTTTCGATACTCCCCTTCAATGTCGCCTTGATGTATTCTAAAAGAATTTTTGAAAGCATTTCTTCTCTTATTCTGACGATACAGCAATACAACAAGAAAAAAGCCATACAAGACACTTCTATATGGCTTTTTAAAAAGTATTGCTTACCTTGCTGCAGCTTCAATGTGTTTGAGCTGTTCTGGAAATTTAAGCAGTGCTGTGTCCACCTTCTGAGCTTGCTGTGATGAATTAGAAAGTTTGTTCAAAATCGAATTATGCAACTTCATCTTAAGGTGAGAAACACAGACTTCTCAAACAAGTAAAAGCCACTTGCCATCACAACATAGTGCATAAGATTCATTCCAGGTTTGTTTGCTTTGGTATCCACTAGTTTCAACAGAGAAGACATTTTGAAGCCAACCGCATTGCCCGCGTAGCCGCCCTATGATCAGACAAACATATTAAAATCAAACAAATATAAATACAAAGAAAAGTCATCCAAGACTCCACAAACACAATCATTATATACTCACAGCATTCATGTAATTTCCAGTCTTAAGGACCAGGCGAATGACAGCATGAAGATTATCGCAATCTAGCAGCTCTAAAAGAAAACATATATTGTTAACTCCAACTCCAAATGGGCGTACAACTCTGCTTCAATGGGTCTCATGTTTCAAACTCAAGGAACGCAGACATTACCCCTTCCAGCAGTGGTCAAAATACAGATGAATTCTTTTACTTCATCCATAAGGGGAAAAAATTCCTCCTTCAGCACCAAGCAGCTCAAACGCTCTTCATAGCTAAAAGACAAAACGTTTCCATCATTATCACCACTGACATTTAACATGCGATTTTCATTGAATTACACTCAGGTGGCTTACCTGGGGATCTTGACCAACAGTAACATAAATTGATCTGCTTCAGGGAGAGCAGACATGTCACCTTTGAAATTAACCAGCTGCTTTACCTGCATTTGTGAAATCAGAAAATCTGATTATGTATTTACAAAGTAAATAAACAAAGGTTTAGAGTCACATGACGCAATAGACATGTTTAAAAAAAAAAAAAGCAACTAAAGTACCTCCCCTTCATCCGGAAGCATCTTGCATAATTCCTGCAGTTTTCCAGTACCAAAGCCCAGGCCATTTCCTGATTTGATATCCTCAATCATGTCTTTTATAGACCTGTAAATAGAGGTCAAGCGAATCAGTTATCTGTAGTTATGTTTTTACTGTTGCTTTAAAACATCTTCTGGGTGTCTGCTTTCATATCCCACTTTTCTATGCTTGGAAAAACTTGGAAAAAAAAAAAGCTGCTGACATGTACAAGCCTCTACATGCTCTAATCACTTTATTTCAACCCTCAGAAAAATACATGCTGTGCAGGACATGAGAATGATGGAATGGAAATGTGCTCAGATTGCAGAAAAACATATTTGGTAACAGAATGAGAAAGAAAAAAGTAGTTAGATTAATGTATCCATATGTTGTTCTCTTGTTTTGCTGGTGACAGTAGTTTGATCAAACATTTTAGGGATGTTAACAGTAACAGGATTGTTTTCATTCCTTTTAAGATCTGTTGTTTATGACAACTAGCTTTAGGCAATAGATTTACAATACCTCGCACAAGTGTGTCTGCAAGTTACATCAGGGAGATAACCTGTTAGAGCTGTAGAACAGTCTAGTATAGATCAGACCTGCCAGGACATGTCGGCTTTCAGAGATTTTGTGAGTATGATGCAGTCTTATTGCATACAAATCTGCCTGCCTCACCTTGTCCTCTTTACAGTGTAACATGGAAAGATTATTGTGCAAAATACTCACACCTTCACAGTGCTACCACTGACTCACCGCTTGAATTGCTTTAGGAAAATTCCAATGTTCATGCTCCTCTTGGAGCTGAGGACAGAAATCTGGGAAAAGAGAACAGAGACCGGATTAAAATCTGCTTGTCAGCTGCTAAAATGGTTTCATTGTTGACTTGAGCTCTGTCTTTCGTATCACGGACATCTCAACTTTCCAAAGAGACAGTCGAATCCAAAGGTTAAGAATTCTTTGAGTTGATTGTATTGAACATTCCAGGCAAAGATGCAGTTTTTGCACCTTTTCACCATTTCTCTTGCAATATTCTAGGTGAAAGGTCAAAGTAAAAGTTAAAATGTGTTGTTAGTCAAACCATGATTGATCAAAACTTCATTAAGTAAATCTATCTACTGGTGTTTATTATGGACGGTAGCTTAAATACAGAGCATGGACAACAGAGTGATGTCAGTGAGAACACAATTAGACCCTCCTTCAGCAAACAAATGAAAATAATAATACTCCACCCTTGTACGGAGTGATTTTACATCAATGCATAATGTTTCTGACAGAAACATTATACTATTGTTGTCATTTATTGTATTTATATATTGCAAAGTTGGGCCTATAAAATGTAAATTGTAAAATAAGAAAATGTAAATTGCAATTTTGAGTTCCACATAAAGGGTAATAAAGTTCCTATAGTATCACTATATTCCCAGTTCATAAAATCACCACTTCGGTCACTCTGGTTTTAAATGCTAGGAGAGGAAAACATTGCAGGGACGTCTGTTTTTTTCTTAAATGTAAGCTTGGGGGGGATCGATTCAGGTCAAAAGAACTTCCATACCTCAGCAATAAACAGGAAAGACTATAAAACCTTTCAATCTATTGTACAAACCTTGGGGGTCAAAGTTCCACTACATGAACGGGTGATAGTGACACATTTATAGTCTGGCTAGCTGCACTCACCATTTCCCCTGCTGTGGCAGAACTTGGCAGGCCCCTCAGACTCTGACGGTTCAGAGCTTTGATTTGCTGCTGGGCCTGCTTGTGGCTGAACAGCTCCTCCATATGATCAGTGTCCAGCTCATATTCCCCATCAGTCTTATCTGCTGTCCAGATATTGTGCTTTCCTATAACTGTGTGTTTGGGTAGGGTCTCCCAGTTGAAGTTGCGCATCTTGGAGCGCCGGCGCTCCAACCTTGAAATTGGACCCAGGCCATGTAGGGATGGAGGTGGAGGAGGTGGTGGCGGAGGAAGCGGAGGTGGAGGTGGTGGGGGTGGAGGTGGGGGTGCAGGAGGACCACCTGGCTGCATCTTTTAATAAGAACCTCTCAGCAGGTTTTGAATGCATCCACACTCATATTCATGCATAAAAGCTGAATTTCAGCATATATTGGAATGCAGTGAATGTAGAAGCGATTCTGGTCGTTTTTACAGGAATGTGGTGCAACAGTCAGTCCTGGAGTGACTTGTTCAAAATGTTGTCAGTTAGGATGATGCATTCCGACTGAAAGAAACAAAGCAGGGTGGGGACACATAAGCTACAGATCTTCATACACTCTACAGCAGTGAGCAGCTTTGTTTAGCACAGAGTACAGAATTTACTTTCTTTACTGTACATAAGATTAATTATGGGAGTGATGCCGCCGATTATTTTCATAAAAAGTTTCCTGAAACTTGTGCAAACACTATAATAATTCCACTCATGATCCACTTTGGAAACACATAGAGGCTACTTTAAATCTGCCATAACAGTCACTTTAGGAGATCTAGACGCTCCTGGTGTTTTATCCAGTACAGCGCTATGCTTGTCCACCGTGATCGGTAAACTACTAAAACCAATGTTTGTTCAAACACTTAGCGTTATTTTTAGTTAAAGACCGGAGAGAAAGAAAGAAAAAGTCAACTCACCTTTGTGTTGGACTCAGCATAAGTCCCATCATTCCGCTTCCCTTTTTGTTTCTTTTCTTATGGTCCTCTTGCTGAAAATTCAAAAGTAAAGAGTGACATCAGCCTGGATAGAGTGTCGAAACTACCTGTGTGTAAATGACACGCCCAGGTGAAGTCACTTAAAATCCATGACAGCCCACACCTTCCCAGGCATTCTGGGATTGGCTTTTTTCTTTCTTTCT